TTCAGCCTCACGGCACAAATCCTTAAAAAGGAGCAGCTACATGTTTTTGAGAGCCAGCATGGTGTGGTGGTTTGAATGTTAGACTACAATTCTGGAGACTAGGGTTCGACTCCAAGGATGTCCATGAATCCCACTGGGTGACCTTGGGCAAGTCACATACTCTCAGCCTCAGGGGAAGGCAATGGCAAACCCTTTTGGAACAAATCTTGCCAAGAAAACCCCGGGATCTTATGGTCACCATAAGTTGGAAACGAGTTGAAGGCACGCAACGATAACAATACTTTCTCTCTTTTCTCTTGCCAGTGACAGGGGGATATGAGCCGCAGGTCCGAATCTGGAACCCATATGTCACCAGCAGTCCCATCACCCATCTGAAAGGGCACGTCACGGCGGTCACCCACATCATGATCAATGGGGAGAGGTCCACCATCGTCAGCGTCTCAAAAGACAAAGTAGGTGGCCAGAGGTTGCAGGGCAGGCTAGGGACTGAATGGGAAGCTTTCCAGATTCTTGACTTGGTCCTGCCCTGTCCAACTGGACTTGGGAGGATTTCTGTTCCCAAAGAGTGGAAGGACTTGGGCTGGAGGCTACACATCTCCAGGTCAATGTTTAGGACTGAGGGATTTGCAGTTTCAGGACATTTCCAGGTACTTGGAAATGACTTTGAAGGGGACTATAATTCTCCATCGGAGAGCTGTAGTGCCTTATCAATGCTTACACTTCAGGATTCCATAGGATGTACCCATGGGAGTTAAAGTGGAATCATAGGCTGCTGCCTACACTACAGAGTTAATGCAGTTTGACACCACTTTAACTATCTATGTTTGACTAACATGGCTCCATCCTGTGGAATCCTGGGATTTATAGTTTGTTGCGGCACCAGAGCTCTCTGACAGAGAAGGCTAACTAGCTCACAAAACTACAAACCCCAGGATTCGATGTGTGGATTCCTCCTCTGAATAAATTCTATTCTTGAAAAATTCAATTTTTGAGGGCTTTCTTGGTAAAATAATTTCCTTGGTAAAACTATTCATTCTCGCCAACAAGAATGGCATTTATAAAGATTTACTTCTTTGGGAGATACATCAGAACACAGTAATCAGACTCCTATCCCAACGCTGCTACCTCTTGGCTTCTTTCTCTTGTTTCCGTCAGAACATCCGTATTTGGGATCTGCTGGATCACTTATGTTTGCAGTCAATCCATGGCAGAAACGTCCCTCTGGGGAATTGTCCCATCTCCGCTACCTACTACCATCATCCGAACAACTTCTTGATTTGTGCCACTTACACGGTGAGTAAAGGAATCGGATAAAACAGGAGCAGAGGATGTGAGAAGAGCCAGCACGGCGCACTAGTTTGAATGTTGGACCAGGGGTGCATTTGCACGGCAGAAATAATGCACTCTGACAACACTTTAACTGCCATGGCTCAGGGCTATGGAGTTGTGGGATTTGTAGTTTTGTGAGATATTTAGCCTTACTTGTGGGATTTGTAGTTTTGTGAGATATTTAGCCTTACTTGTCAGAGATCTCTAGGGCCACAGCAAATGACAAATCCCAGGATTCCATAGCATGGAGCTATTGCAATTGAAGCAGCGTCAAACTGCACTGTTGGACTCTGGACCCCAGGGTTCGAATCTCTGTTCAGCCATGGAAACCCATTAGTTGACCTTGGTCAAATCTCACTCTCTCAGCCTCAGAGAAAGGCAAAGCCAAACCCCTTTCCGAACAAGTCTTGTCAAGAGAAACTCATGATAGGTTTCTCTTAGGGCTGCCATAAGTTGGAAATGACTTGGAGGCATACGAGAAGAAGTAGTAGTAAACCTGTCTTGACGGCTACCTGAAGATACTCATTTTACTCCTCTCCCATGAGTTTGAAGCAGCTTTGGTGTTTTTCTTTATTATTTATTAAACCCATTTGGTTGGCATGCTGAGGAGCAGGGGCTAAGGGTCAATGTTGGCAGTGTGCAGCTTGCAGTCTTGCCAAGAGATCACACTCTCATGTAAATGGAAATTACCCCAGCCGTCTAGTTCAGTGCAGAAATCC